TAAAATAAATAAAATAATATTCTCAAAATAATCCTGAACAAATGGGGCGTTACAACCGGGATCTTAACCGGTTGACGATCAAGAATAAGTATCCGCTTCCCAGGATCGACGACTTATTTGATCAGTTGAGGGGAGCCTGTGTGTTCTCGAAGATTGATTTACGATCAGGCTACCACCAGCTGAAGATTAAGGAGTCAGATATCGCTAAGACCGCTTTCAGGACTCGTTACGGCCATTACGAGTTCGTCGTCATGCCTTTCGGTCTCAGCAATGCGCCAACTGTTTTCATGGACCTCATGAATCGTATTTTCCATCCCTACGTCGATCAGTTCATTATTGTCTTTATTGACGATATTCTTATCGACACGAAGAGCCAGAAGGAGCACGAGGAGCATCTGAGGGTGGTTCTCGAAACCCTCAGACGAGAAAAGTTGTATGCAAAATTCTCCAAATGCGAGTTCTGGCTCCAGCGAGTATCCTTTCTGGGTCATGTGATTACTCAGGCAGGCATTGAGGTAGATCCCTCTAAGGTCTCAGCCGTTCAGAACTGGTCGACACCGAGGAGTCCGTCCGAGGTTCGCAGTTTTCTCGGTTTAGCTGGTTACTATCGCAGGTTTATCGAGGGCTTTTCCAAGATCGCCCTCCCTCTTTCCCAGCTGACGAGGAAGTCTGTGAAGTTCGAGTGGACTGATCGTTGTGAGGCGAGCTTTCAGGAGCTCAAGAGGAGGTTAACTTCAGCACCAGTGTTGACTATTCCCGATCCTTCTCGGAGTTTCACTATCTTCAACGATGCTTCGAGACAGGGCTTGGGATGTGTCTTTATGCAGGACGGCCAGGTCGTTGCGTATGCTTCACGTCAGCTTAAGCCTCATGAGCAGAACTATCCTACGCACGACTTGGAGTTAGCAGCAGTCGTCCATGCTCTCAAGATCTGGAGACATTATCTTTACGGCGGACGTTGCGAGATTTTCACAGATCATAAGAGCTTGCAGTACATCTTCACGCAGAAGGAGCTCAACATGAGACAGCACCGTTGGCTCGAACTTGTTAAGGATTACGACTGCTCTATTCAG